GTGTTTACTCTGCCTCTCTAACTCTCTGTCTGTGTACTGCTGCTCCTAATCACTCTGATCCTCTCTTTCAGGTCTACCGATATCTTAATTTCTTGGCTAGTTTATCAGAGCACCCGCATGCTAAGGTCACACCCTTACCTTATGATCATATTTTTCCTCTTTTGTTTCTTTTTTTCACCTGGAATTTATTAATTTCAGGGATTATTGTTAGAGGAGGGTATTGTTCAACTGCTTGTGGAAGTTCTGGAAAGATGTTATGAGGCCACTAATCCAAGTGAAAACAGGGTTCTAGAGTATGGAAATTTGTCCAAGTCTAGTGTGATTCAGTGGTGTATTCCAGTTTTCAGAACGATCTCACTGCTTTGCGATTCGCAAGTGCCTCTCTCGTGCTCTCAGAAAAAAGAACTGTAAGTGGTTTCTATGCAGGAGTGTTTAACGTTAACAATTTTGGGTGTGTTTATATCTCGGATCCTACTTATACTAGTATCACCTTATCTTGATCACATTTATATATAGCTCTTTTCTTTTCTTTCTAAAATTCTAACAACTTGTACAGATCAGCCAGTTTGAGTGCAAAAGACTTTGCATTGATTTTCCCCTTTGTGCTGAAGTTCTGCCAGGTATGTTAATTTTTTTTCAACATTGTAGTGTTCTATGTTGATAAATTGTTTTCCAAATGCTATTATGTTGCGCGTCTAGTTCCTTTGGAAATATGTTAAAAGTGATGCACCTAAAATGCCACCAATGAGCTCTCCTAATAGACATCTTCGTAACATTTTTCCTTAACACAAAAATATGATTAGAAGAAGTATCTTCTTTTTACAGGTGTTGCCTATTGGCAATGAGCTCTTATCTTGTCTTTGCGCTTTCAAGGACCTGGTCTCTTGTGGTGAAGGTCAAGATGGTCTTGTTTCACTTTTGTTTCATCTGTTATCTGGTGCTGAAGAACCTGTATCTGAAAGGTCGTGTGACACTAATAATTTGAGTCTCGATCAACTAGAGATGAGGAAAAATCCCCCTTTTCTGTCTTGCTGGATCAAGTTATTGAACTCAGTTAATTCAAAAGATGGTTTATCTAGTCTCGCAATAAAGGCCGTAATCGTTCTGAGCGTGGGCTCCATCAGATTATGCCTTGATGGTAAAAGGTGATTCCCAGTCTCTTTGTTATCTAGTAATGTACTGCTTAGCCAGTTTAACACGTCTTTCATAGGGTTTTTTTTTACTCTGATAGGTTACGTATCATCTTCAAAGAATCAATCTTCATGTGTTTCATGTTAGAATTGTTAGTTGATGACTGCGTATGTGGATACATGAAAGATAATGTCCACCGCCACTTCTGTACTTAAGTTGGTGTATGCATACAGTTTAGTTAATCTGGTTTTGTTTTTGATATAATCTTAAGAAATTTTACGCATAAAATGTGTTTAGTTGCATCTGATGCTGTTCACATATAAATACTTCCAAGTGGTCTATTAGACCATTCATTTTATAAAATTGTGTTTAGTTGCATCTGATGCTGTTCACGTTTAAATACGTCCAAGTGGTCTATTAGACCGTTCATTTTAACTAATTTTTAACAAATCAGCTAAGCTTTGTGTAGTCTAAATTTCTTCATTTTTTTCCAGTTTTGACTCGAAGAAGGTTGCAGGGCTAAAATCCCTCTTTGGCCTTCCAAGCGGCTTTAGTGATACAGACACTTTTAGAGAGGAAAACATTGGTTTGATTGAACAAATGGTGACACTGTTGAGTTCAATGACCTCGGGATCTGATAGTTCAGCTACTACTGAGATAAAACCCTATTTGCATGAGGTACTACTGACTACCCCATAACTGCATTTTCTTGCATCATCCACATCTTTTGTCGATTTTCCTCTTGACACTGACCTCCTTATCCTCTTTGTGTATTGGAAGGTAATAGGGTCGTTGCTGTCTTTGCTGAAAGACGGAAATATTGATGATATTATATCCTGCAAAGGTGTTCTTGTTTCTTCTGAGAATTTTGATATGGATGATGTAGACCCTGAGAGTATTGAGGATGATTTCTATCAAAGAGGACTTGATGACAAGTTCTCGTGGGAATGTCCAGAAACATTACCTGAGCGTTTGCCCCAGTCATCTCTTCCTGCAAAAAGGAAACTACCAACTGTGGAGAGCTCTAGCAGGCGTGCTAAAGGCGAAAACTCTTCTGTTGACATACCGACCCAAAGTTCAATTCAACGGGGACTGGGTTCTGTATCCCTTCCTCCTGCTCCTACACGCAGAGATACCTTTAGGCAGCGCAAGCCGAATACGAGCAGGCCTCCCTCTATGCATGTGGATGACTATGTTGCCAGGGAAAGGAGTGTTGATACAGCTGGTAATTCTAATGCAATAACCATTTCACGGGCAGGATCTAGTAGTGGTAGACCCCCATCTATTCATGTTGATGAATTTATGGCCAGACAAAGAGAACGAGGCCAAAATGCCTCCACCATTGTGGTTGGAGAGGCTGTTGTACAAGTGAAAAATCCTACTCCTGCTAGAGATACTGACAAAGTCGCAGGTAAACCCAAACAATTCAAACCCGATCCTGATGATGATCTACAAGGAATAGATATAGTTTTTGATGGTGAGGAATGTGAAGGACCTGATGACAAATTGCCCTTTCTTCAGCCCGATGAGAACCTTATGCAGCCTGCTCCTGTCATGGTTGAACAAAATTCTCCTCACTCCATTGTTGAAGAAACCGAGAGTGATGCAAATGGAAGCAGTCAGTTCTCCCACATGGGTACACCAATGGCAACTAATGTTGACGAGAACGCTCAGAGCGAATTTTCATCAAGGATATCAGTTTCGCGCCCAGAGATGTCATTGATTCGGGAACCAAGTATTTCTTCAGACAGGAAATTTGTTGAGCAGGCAGACGAAACAAAGAAAATGGGTCCAATGAAGAGCGCCGGCATATCTGACTCTGGGTTTGTACCTGCTTACAACATTCCAGGATCTTCAGGACAAAATTTAATTGATCCTAGAGTGGGTCCTCAGGGGTTCTATTCAAAGAATAGTCAGCAACATATGGGCCATATTCATGGAGGATTCAGTGGTCGGGGTGTTTATGAACAGAAGATGATGCCAAACCAGCCTCCATTGCCCTTAGTGCCACCTCCATCAGTCCCACCAGTGATACCACATTCTTCTGATTCTCTTTCTAATCAGTCCTCCCCGTTTATTAGTCATGGAACCCCATCTTCAGGAGGACCCATCCGGCTTATGCCACCGCTCCCTTCAGCCATTCCTCAATACTCATCTAACCCATATGCTTCGTTACCACCAAGGACTACAGTTCAATCTTTTGGATACAACCAGGCAGGTGCAGGTACCACTGAACAACAACAAAGTGGTTCAGCCCATGATCCCCAATCTGGCAGTCTCTCGGTTTCAGGCACGGGAATGTCCTCTTACCCTCCCCCCAGTTTAATGCAATTTAGTAGGCCATCATCTCTCCCGGTGCCATTCTATGGAAATCCTATGCATCAAGGAGGTGATAAGCCGCAGAGCATGTTGCCGGTTCCCTCCATTCCTCAATCACACAATCCACAGTCCATTCCTCAGCTGCCACCGATGCAGCTTTCACAGCTACAACGGCCTATGCAGCCTCCTCAGCATGTTAGACCACCCATACAGATATCTACGCCGGCAGAGCAAGGAGTATCATTGCAAAACCAATATCAGATTCCATTGCATCAGATGCAGATGATGCAACAGACGCAAGTCCAGCCTTACTATCACCCCCCTCAGCAACAAGAGATTTCTCATGTGCAGCAACACACTGTTCAAGGTCAGCAAGGAGCTGGGACTTCTCAGCAACAAGAATCTGGAATGTCTTTACATGATTACTTTAAGTCCCCAGAAGCTATTCAGGTTTGTAATCCACATCCTTGGTAATGATGCGCTATTTTGTTTAGTATTACGTGCCACACCTTAAATTCTTAAATTTCATTTTTCAGTCTCTACTAAGTGACCGCGACAAGTTGTGTCAGCTTCTGGAACAGCATCCAAAGTTAATGCAGATGCTTCAGGTTGTTTTCTAAATCGATTACTCTCCTTGTATATATAGTTTTTTGGCTTTTCATGTGCTTTCTGAAAGCATCATCGACCTTTGTGCTCACCTGTTGACTTATGCTAAAATGGGTTTCTTGTAATTGTTCGTTGTGACAGGAAAAACTGGGGCAGCAATGAGAAGAAAGGGAGACGACTCATCGAATATATCCCTCGTTTACTAGTTTCTTTTCCATATCTGTTATGTTTGATAACATGTACATTGTTTCGATTGGTATGTAGACAGAAGTGGCAAACGGTGCCGTTTTGTTGTTGTTGTTTAGTTAGTAGTATTCATGTACATTAAGCAAGAAAAGAAACTCCCTTCAGGTTCGAGGCTCAGCCCTTACGAAGCGAGAAATCCCAAGTTTTGTTGTAAGCCGCCACGAACACACGACTTGATTAGTGTAAGCACATAGAGGACTACATAAGTAATGAGATGTCTAAGATAAGTGTCGACTCTTTAGCTTCCTCTTTCATCTTAGAAATTTAATAAGAGTAGAATCTCTCTTCAAGCCTCTTCAGGGTTCAGTGATTAATATTTGTGTAATTGCATTACCTTTTAACGGTTCCACTATCATAAACCAAATAACACTATAACAGTGTAGTATCAAATCTTGAGAACAGAGGCCGAGGATACCACCCTCCCAGGATAAAAACATGTACCAGTACATTCCAACATTAATTGAAGGAATAACAGAATGTTATAATCACTGAGCCCTTTAAGAGGCCTTAAAGCCCCAAAATAGCATTTGAAATCGACCCCACTGAGAGACCCAACAAGATTCAACTGACTGTAAACCAAGAAATCAACGAAAAGAAGACGAATTTATCCCTCTAAGCCCAACAAAGTTCTCTGACACACATCATCATCAAGTAGGCATTGAAAAGATTTTGTTGTACCAAAGAGAAAGAAGAAAGAAACTGGTACACAAGAGAGAGAGAGAGAGAGAGATCGGGTGGAGTTTGGATGATATCAGAGTGGTTCGTAGTTGCAAGATCAAAGCTCTAGTTCTTTTGTACTGTTCGAAGAAGTTCCACTGAGAATCTTAAAGATTCGACATTTAGGGTACTATTCTCTGATAAATATAGATGACTCTTTCTATTTAGGGCTGAGTTCGAATTCGGAAAGTATATTTTAATCAGTTCGTCGTAATTAAAATTTCTTGCTTTCTGTAGTCATCTCTGCACTCGCTCATACTTGTAGTGGCTAATGTGTGTATTTGGGTAATGATGGTCTTTGTACTGAGTTTTTGTTTGATTTACTGGGTTAAGGCTACTAGCTTATGTAACTAGATCTCATTTCTTCCTCTCTTTCATGGTGATTACTTATTCAGGTTCTGAAATACATCAAATTCTTGTGAAAAAAGCCGGCTTTTTCTACTATGGAGCCTCGTGTGAGTGACAAGGATGAATTTCTGGTTTGTGTGTTTCGAACTGGTTTAATTGCTGAAATGTTAAATTCATTTTCTTTTTTTTTCGGTTTTTGTTTTTCTTACAGGATGATCAAGCCGAGGCTTCATATACATTTGGTGATCGAACTACCAGTGACATAGTAGTCAGACTAAGAAACGAAGAAGGCCGAGACGACTGGATATATTGCCATTCAAAGATCCTTAGTGCTAAAAGCCGATATTTTGCAGATCGTCTGTCTGATAAATGGCCCACTTGCAAGATTCTTGATTCGCGCTACTGTGTCGAAGTCATCTGTCAAGAATCAGACTATGATCATCATATCAATCTCTTACGACTTCTCTATGTTGTCTCTGATGATGTCCCTGAGGATAACTTGTGTCATAATGTGAAAAATGCGTTAGGGATACTCAGTGTCGCTAAACAACTTAGCTGCCCTCAAATTGTCACTGCTTGTGTGAACTACTTGGAAGCAGTTCCTTGGGAAGAAGGTGAAGAGGAAGAGATTCTGCGGATTGTACCGGGAATTGGATCAGAAGCAGAGCCGATTCTTGCCCGTCTCCAACCGGTTGCTCAAACCGCTGTTATTGGAATCTTTATATCGGCTTTTAGATTCGCTACCTCGTCTCCGCCTTTGCCCTTATGCGACATAAAATCATCGGCTCAAGAGCAGATAGAGTATATGATAACCGAAGATGACGATGCTCCGTTGTTGATTGCCGATGAAGAGATCAAGCTTGAAGTAAAGGAATGTGTTAAGAGCCTGTTTGTGAGATTCTTCCAGTGTCTAGAAGCAATGTCCTTGGATTCTGAGGTTACTAGCAAAAACGGGTCTTTTAGGATGATTCTATCGGATTTGTCATGGGTTTGTCAGATACTAACAAAGATGGAAATGGTTAGAGATTTTGTTGTGACATGGGTCGACACATCTGAGAAGTTAGTTAAGGTAGTTGAAGCGATGGAAACGGTTTCAGAGACGGTTGAGATAAGAGTAAAGGTCACCGAGGTGACTGCGAAAGTGGTAGAGGCGATTGGTTATGGAACTGTGATATTACCAACAGGGAAACGGCTTCAGATGGTGAAACTATGGCTGCCCTTTGTGAGAAACACAAAGCCTCTTGTTGACTCAGAGGTAACCAAAAACGATGATGATGGGAATGAAGCTGTGAGATGTAAAATCGATGGAGAGATATGGCAAGCTTTAGAGTCTTCCTTTGTGTCGATAATTCTGGCATTGCCGTCTTCAGACCAAGCGGAGATATTGACTGAGTGGTTAAGCAAGAACGGGTTGTATCCGGATTTGACAGAGGCTTTTGAGGTTTGGTGTTACAGATCAAAAGTCGCCAAGAGAAGATTGGGTTTGGTAGGGGGAGAGGAAGACGAGAATGGCATGTCTTAACTCTTTTGTTGAGCTCTAAGGAACATTCTGTCTCTCTTTTTTCGTTGTTGTTGTTGTGTGTTTAGGTCTTTTAACCCTTTTTTGATGGGGTGCGTTCTCTGCCAAATTCATTGGCAGTTTACACAAATCTGTAAATACTGTTGACAGATATGTTGTCTTTTTCAATTTCCCAGAAGAATATTTCCTGCTATAAACAAAGAAAACAGGTTTTTAATCAATCTGCGGAAGGTCGATCTACCGATCACTTTCTCTGCAAGAGGGTACAAAAACTGAGGCTCTCTTTTGATCTTAAAATCTCAATACTGACAAGTGATAAACCAACAAAATACAATCATAAAATCGCACTCGTCTTTCAGGATCACCATCATCGATGATCACTGATCAGTCAATGGTGGATCAAAGCTTCATTTTAGATTTTCATATTAAAGTCGATCGGCGAATCTTGTTGTCCGCTTTGTAATCACAAAATCAAGACATTGCAACTCAAGTCTGAGAAAAACCATTTTTTCGTTAAATTGGGTTTTCAAAACTATCACTAAGCCAGTAGAAACGATTAATAATCCTGCTTTCAAAAGCCTCACGAGTCAAAATAGAAGTAATCAGAGATTACTCGAATCAAAACATTAAGACTGAAATATGGTTAGGGGCTGCGCGAACGCAAACCCCCGCTGCCACAAATAATGACGTAGGCTCTTCCACTTGGGAAGACCTTAAGCTAAGCACCCTTCCGATTATGTGCAATGGAAGTCACTAGCCTAGGCCACTCGCCTTCTTGATCACGAGTCGACCCCGTCCAGGTAAGTGATTTGATCATTGCCACCACTCTTCCTTTTATACTCTCTTTTCCTAGCCTTCCTTGTTTCTTTTAACCGATGTGGGACATTTTTCTTTTAAGCCTCATTCTCTCCTCCGCCGTTTTTAACTTCTAGAAGACGCACCGCGTGCCGTTTCACTGCTCCCCTCGTTGAACGGCGTGTCGGACAGGGCTTAAATTAAAACGCGAAACGGCAAGAGCTTTTGTTTATTGTTTAGATTCTCTACTGGGCCGGTCTCTTTGGTGGCCCAAATCAATTATTTAGTTACCAGAAAACAATGCTGTCAAGGTTCGTATTCAATTGGGAGTATATTTTTTTTTTTTCAAACATTCCCAATTGCTATTTCAGTGTTATAGTGTAATAGTGAGAGTGGAATATAAGAAGATCATTCTTTTATCAGTGAAAATAGATCATACTTGTATCATATACAATGGCTAAAATAAAGGTTCAAGATCTGAACAATGACAAAAGAAGAAAAAAAATATCAATTTTCTAATAAATCTAAACAATTGAAGCAAGTGGTGATTTAGTGGAGCCCTAAACGCAACCAATGGGGTTGTCTTGTGTCCAGGATCATCTTAACTACATCCTCTACAAATGAATCAAAACAAGAATAGCAACACCCTTTCATCAGGCCGCTGCTACTGCTGTTGTTGCTGCTACTGCTACTGCTGCTGCCAGGTGTCATATCACCATGAGGACACGTCACTGGTGGCGGAACAAGATGAACTTCACTGCTCTTGTGTTCCAGTCCACAAGCTGCCAGTATCGTGTGTATTGAGCACGTGGAAATCTCGTCAAACGTGGCTTGACCTGATCAAGAGCAATGGAAGAATTAATACCAAAAAGAAAAACACAATCAGACACGGCAGATGTAAGAGTTGAATCTAAATTATAATCCAAAGAGTGGAATTTTGCAAAGAACAAACTAATCTAGAGAGATAGAGTTAACGAGTTGTAGATTTGTGCCTAAAGCTATAGTCCACATATTCAGTGAGTTTGGCAAATATGTAGGCTACAATCCAAAACTAACTAGGAGAGGGAATTGAATTATTTGTACCTAAGTCGATTTGACTGGACAAGTTCTTCAGATGGGCTATAACTCTTTGTTGCAGTCGTTCTCGTACCGTGGAAGGCATTGTATTTGGCATGTAGCTGGGAAGATGTTGATTACCAAACAAGGGACCAGCCTGGGCAAGTCCATGACGTAATCCTAAATCAATAGATCGATCGCCAGGAAATGTATTACTAGACAAACGTCTGACTGCTTCTTCGCTTCCAAAATGATCTAACTTTGGAGACAAAAGCTCAGGGTCATGGACAGAAATCAATGGATTGCTATTGGGTAGTCTTTCTTCAGAGATTGCATACAGCGACGTCCCTGCTCCTTGAGTCACTGCAGGTTGAGACCGTTCTCTTTCTCTACCGTACTGACCAATTTGTGTAGTCACAAAACCATCACCCGAGTTAGCAATCATCGATGTTCCAGCAATTCTACTACCCATATTACTAAGTCTGTCACTATTGATAATATGCTGTATGTGTCTATGAAGCGTCCTTCTTCTTGATAATGTGGTTGCCCCTAGGCCGGATGGAGAAGAGACTTGACCATCACCATTTGGAAGCCTTGGAGAAAAAAAGAACTCTCCGTTGAAAAACGAAGTACGTGGAGAGACTAGCAAAGACGCATCTTGATGTTGCCCTGAAACTACAAGAGGTGATGGTCTATTATTAAAGCCACTGATTCTTTGTTGCTCGGATGTAGTGTGTGTTTCGGAACTAGCTGATCCAAGTGCAACGGGTCTACAACCTTCACAGTACCAGTTACCTTCAGGTACTTCCATCCCGAGACCAACACAGTAAGTATGGGCAGATGAATCACAAAGATCACAAAGCAACATATGCCCATCATCTTCACCTTGGTGACATTCCGTACATATTGTATTTTCATAGGGATCAAGATAACTCCTCAACTCTTCTTCAGTCGGTTGATAAACCTGCACACAGTTAAAAAAAAAAAAAGCCCATATAAATACACAAATTTATTACACAAGAATGACATGAAACGCAAAATAAGGTCTACTCTATCATGCATCTGAAGCACTTCCGAGAAAACTGATGTTACTGGTAACTACCAGAAAGAATCGCCTTTTGGACCTTAAATGTGGAATGCTGAAGGCCATACCACATACCACGGCCAACATTCATTAGGATACTAGGACAATTAGTTAATCAACTAAAAAGAGACTCTATAGGCGTAAAGCAATAGAAAGAGAAGAAAAAAATAAACCTGATCCCGTTCAGGTACAGGTATCACGACTTCTCTCAAATCTACTCCAGGTGTAGATCTTGCAGGCTTACTGATTGTTCTGAACCGCTGCTTGCATAGTGGGCATCGAGATTCTACTTTTGACCACTCCATTATGCAAGTGAAGCAAAAGTAATGACTACAGCAGTCCAATGTTCCCTTTAATCTTCGCATGTCTTCCTCAGACAGACAAATCCCACAAACGTTTTTCATCACATCTCTTTTCACTAGCTCTACCTTCTTTTCGGCTTTTTTCACAGGAGACTTGCAAAGCTGAGGAAAATCTTTCTTGACCGTAGTTTGTCTTATAGATGATACATGATTCCCACTACTTCTCAACAAACTACCGGCTTCTCTTACCTGCTCTCTTTCCTCCTCCGAGATTGTGTACTCATATTCAGATTCTCCAGAGGATGCAATGTCTGAATCTGATGGCACAGTACACCGACGCCTTGGCCTTGATGATTTCGTCTTCGCCTTCTTTCTTGCAGGTAGGCAGTCATCTACAAAATCACCATCATCATCAACTTCTTCCTTTGTTTTTTTCCCACGTCTCTTTCTTCCATTTGTCACACGAGTTTTTGCAACAGAGCATTTCTTTCTTCGTTTACGCCCTCTTCCAGATCTCTGTTTTCGCTTGTTTTTCCTGCAAACCATCAGTGATTTTCTGTTGCATGCAATTGTTTCTTCCTCCTCTTCCTCGTCTAATGAGACATCTTCATCTGCGGTAAATTCCTCATCGCCATCTTCACCTTCATAATCTCCATCATCTTCCTTTTCGGTCTCGTGTGACACATTGTCCTGCTCTTCCAATGCCATCTCTCCATCTAAATCCACTTGTTCAGACCTGACATCCCTCTCTTCCTCTTCTTCGCCATCCTCCTCTGGATAGTCTCCATCTTCATCTTCAATCTCGTAGAAAACTCTCCTTCGCTTTCCTAAACCAATTCCTCCGTGTTTCTCTTGTACACTAGACCTTCCACCAACCTTCCTTGAATTTCGTATCTCCTCCTCGTCGTCATCCGCATCATCTAGATCCACATCTTCGTTGTCAGATGCAACCTGGCTCATCTTTCTTGACTTGCATCCCGTGATTTTCCGATTACCACGAGGACCAGTTTTCACTTTTGGCCACTCAACGTTCCTTAGCAACACATCTTCCTCCTCCACCTCATCTAATTCCTCCTCATCCTCCACCGCATCTGATCCGTCGAAGCCATCACAGGATGCTTCACCGTCTAAAGATGAGGCATACTCCTTAAGATCAGCCTCGGATTCTTCTTCATCCTCGTCTGATATTACATAATCCTCATCTGAATCATCTGAACCCTTGTCCTTAGATCTAACCCTTGTATTTGAATTTCTTGCCCCAAACGTGTTTCTCTTTCCCATAATCTCCCTTGATTAGAAGTTACCGCAAAAAAAAAAAAAATGAAAGAAAGAAAAAAAGGACCAAATCACTAATCTATATCTAAAGCCAAGAAATTCATAAAATTCACCCTAAGCTCATGAACCGGAAACAATGATTCCAGTGATTTATTTTCAGCTCGTCTTGTCATAAAATTTATAAGGCCTAACCATAAAACCAAATCCCCCAGAAATCTCAACGCCAATTCTCCATACAAAGAAGACCAGATCTGCAATTAACCCAAAAACACACAACAAATCAGACACATAATTGAGAATCCTATAACAGCTTTCGATTTGATTCCGACCATAGAAAATTCTACTGTTACCCGATATTACTAAATGCTATTTAATTCCGATCCTATTGTAGAAAAACAAAATCTATCCCAGAAGCAGAAACCACCCCTATGGAAGAAAAAATTAAATTGAGTCCCCAATCTCCAGAGAGAGAGAAAAAAAAAAGTCAAAACACCAAAACAAAAATAATAATAATAATCAGATTACAAAATTACAATCCTTCAAAAATAATATACTATCAATATGATTTACATACTAACATACAGAGAGAGAGAGAGGAAACGAACCTCCGAATCCGATTAATAAGAAAGAACACTTTAGACTTCCACTAATTTTGTGAATCGTGATCCTTTTCCCCGCCTTATTTTCCTCTCTAAAATATTTACAACTCTTTTTTTCTTTCTTTGGTTTTTTTTTTTTTGGGGGGGTTACGAAATGAGCAAAATCGGGGAAAGGTATTTTGTTTTGTTTAGGCTGGCTACGCGGTTGGGGAGGTGAGAGAGCTTTCGTCTGCAAAGACGGAATTACCCTCTACCGCTTCTGGTGGCAGTTGCAGCTGCTATTGGGCTTTTTTGACTTTTTAAATATTTAGTATGATTGCGTGAGCACGTGAGGCAGCTATTCTCTGTGGTTGAGCGTACTGAATTGTTTGAAGATTTGAGGATACGAGTATATATATGGCTGCCTCCAAATCCGGCCCGAAGTATTTATTTATTTAAAGCAAAATAATTTTTTGGCCCATTAAAAAGCATCTTTAGTAAGCCCATACTAACACTAAAATAGATTTTTTGACCCATTAAAAAGCATCATATTAAACCGAATGCTTCCGGTTAGTTAGCAACTTTTATGTTAACAGATTATGGACCTCCGATACGATCCAATAAAATGAAAAATAGGAGTTTATCGTTACCTTTCCAACAACTAAACAAGTCTTGAGAGTTCAAAAATATCCAAAACCAAAAGTCACAAAATAATTGAAAATTTTAAGAATTAACAAATGAGTAATTAAACGAATAACAACCCCGCTTTTACGCATTGAAATTTGAAAATAATACGTATTTTCCAAGTTAAAAGAGAATTCCAGTTAAATATGCAACTCCTAAATACTCTTTTATCCTCTGGTTTCACACTCAGAAATCCCCTAACAACTACATCAAAAATGGCAACTTGGACCTTGGGAGTCTCTTCAAAATTGGTCTTATGTCACTGCCCGCAAGAGACAAGATAAATCATCTTTTTTTTATTTGCCTATAGTTATGCGTCACAAATCTGGACAGCTAAAGGAATCCTCAACCGACATTGCACAATGGATTGGGAATGGGATTCACTTATTTGGCGTCTAATCTCCATTCTTGTTGTGATATGCCTTCCATAGTTCTTTATATCATGTATAGACATATCCATTCTACTCGTCAGAAAACCACAGCTCTGATCGATAAGTTACTAAGGGATAAACTGATATCCATTCGGTACTTGAGAGATCTTTGTAATGACCGCTTCCTCATCGTTTAGTTTGGTTCAAAAAATTAACATTGGATATATATGTTCCAAGGTGCTATGTTTCTCACTCGTTTTCTATCTTCTCTAAACTGCTATAAGTAGTTTAATTTTTATGATGTCTTAGTATCAGAAACCTATCAAAAAGGTTACATTCATTGTAGAAAATGTTTTTTTTTTGTTTTTATAAATTTAACATTCTAACCGAAAAACACCATTTTTTTATTATTAATGTATTTTTGATTCTCCTTTTTTTAACTTCTATAGGTGATTACTTATACCATTCTTCTATCTAATTTTCAATTCTCAAAAATTTTAATACAATATACATTACTTGTTTTTCTTCACACGTAATCATTTGGGAGTGGCACGACCAATGATTGCTTAAATTGATCTAAATCCAATATTTAGGAAGATAATGCGCAATTAACTGATAGTTTTTAAAAGACAGTGGAAAGATAGATAGCCTTGTAATGGCCGGGTGTTAAAAAAAAAAAAAAAGAGAAAAATAGTCTTTGTAATGATTGTAGTTATGATGCTTCTAGCCTTCTAGCTCTAGGTGATAACTGGATAGTAAATTGTTATCATTTTCTTACAACCAACCAATAAAAGCCTCTCAATGAGACAAGCATATGATGATTATAATTGAAAGACATGTTTTTATATATTGAAAAACAAAAGAATTGTCGGCATGTTTAAACTAAAATAAACACGGAAAAGAAATAACATCGTTGAAGGGTAACAATTTTTAAAAATGAGCAAACCAAATCGAAGAAAAAGATTTTATAGCTAGAATAGAAGAAAAGGGTCAATGTTGGGGGATGGAAAGTGGAGCGTGAGGTCCCACGGCACACAAACGCGCGCAAACAAGAAAAAAGAAGTCCTTATCCGGTGCACCGTCCCACATGTGATTGTTGGTCACCACGTGGCAAGAAGAAGAAGTATGGCATGATCCTCTATTAGATTGTGTGCTCGCTAGTGGAGCCAACGAGGACCAAAATAATCAATGTGAGGTTCGTTCTCATGTGCGTTAATTACTGCCACTTTTCATTTTTTTTTTTTATAAAAAAAGAAAGGTTTACTGTGAACTGCCCCTTCCAAATTAGAAAATGAGCGACTCTGGCGCTCACACGGAAAGTCCTCCTCCAATATCCTCTGCTGCGCCACGTGCAATATGGTCTAAACGTAGGAATATTGGTTTCTTGCGAGATTGGATGTCTTTTGTGGTTATTTTAGCTCCAAATAATTGAGGCATGTATATTTGCAAAAGGAATTTTTTTTTTTTTTTTGCATCGTCGTTGGCGACACATAACACAATGTGTTCATCTGTCCGATTCATGATCCAAATAGATAGCAGTGGGTCCCATGAGAAGACTAACGTCACATGCCGGTCATACACACGCAGTAAACGCCATTGGGTCCCACTGGCTAGATAGATATTCTCTTGTGGGGGCAAAGGGTTCGTCTAGTACTACAGTTTCGTCACGGCGTCATCTTATTTATTTGCATATTGTGGCGTTACGGTTTTTGATTCTTTTGATACGATACGAGGGTATGTTTTATTGTTGTAGGGTTGGAGTGTTGGACGATATATAGTATAGTATTGCCCCATCACCCCAAATATTTGTTATTTTCGGTATTCATAAGATATACAGACAGACAGTTGGTAACCTAAATATTTATAGTTTTTATAATTTTAGTTTCATTTGTAGTTTTTTTTAAAAAGTTTTGACTGAGGCAGGCAGGTTTAAACGTGGACCTTTTTGATATTTTTAAAATCTTTCGCGAAAAACAAACTTTGTCACGTGTATCAGTGTATATGGCTACGATTGACGGGCTTAAATTCAAGTTTGCATGCTAGACTAATTTTTTTCTAAGCTGATTTTTACCCATTACGGAAACAATCAACAAAACCAGTCAACGGTAGTAGTTGTTGAAAACTTTTCTTTTCTTTTTTTTTTTTTAAGACCGGGCGTACTACTAATTGGAGTAATAATATGGATCGACGAAAATAAGAGATTTGAAGAAAAAGGACCAAAAAAGGTGATACAAAAAAAAAAGGTACTTATAGATATTCGTAACATTCGTTATATATTGACTTTTGTTTTTGACAACCTGTAGTCATTTTGGAAATTTTATTTATGCGTATTTATAAAATTTACCTAACTTTTCAAATTTCTAACGTTTTTCTCCATCCTACATCAGGTCGGATTCTTTTGTCATATTGCATCACTGTTTACTAGTGTACCAAACTTAAAATATCACACGAGCAGAAAATTTGCCATCAAACTTTTTTCTTTCACATACAAATTCTTGATTTTTTGCTAATCGAGTTTTGTGATCGATACTCGATAGTCTTATATTTTACCCAATCAATTCTTGAACTCCTGGTCTGATCACTTGTTCTCCACTTTTCTTTTTTTGATTCAACCAAATGAACTGCTACTGACTCAAGATCACACACAAATAACCTTGTTTGGCAAATAATATTATTTTGTGATTATACGATCGGCACTGCATCTATCGTTTCAGATAGTAAACCAAAAAAAAATAAAATATAAGAGATCAACTATTGTCTAATAAAATCTTTTTTTTTTTTTGCTGGCGAAAATTGTCTTAAAATCGAAGATATTATTTTAAGTAGCTGATTTTCTGTCTGGAAAACTATCTTCATTAAATGTAATATCTTATATTTTATATTATATGGAATTCAAACTGGACGTAAATTATGATTTCACTGAATTTTGTGACTAGATGAAAACGAACAAAATTTTAGAAATCGTCAAATCCTTTTGCCATTTAATGGATTCCCGATTATATATATAATTTTTTTTGGTAAATAATATATATAAAAATTTTGTATATAAGAAAATTCATTATGGAAAATACTAGATATATAACAACCACTAACGACAAAAGATGTCTTGCTACGTCTCTGCCTTTATCTTGCCACAAGAAAAATGAGAAGGGGAGAGGGATAATCTCATTTTTTTCCTCTTCCTCGGTCATATAATTTCTCTATTAATTAGTATTTATTTGGAGCATGGATGGATTGTGATTTCTGATATGTGACTCTCTCCCTCTCTCTCTCTCTCTCTCTCTCTCCAGTAGTTTTCTCTCCGGTGCGTATTGCGTCACTTTGTCCGAGCTAACGTCATCTATCCGGTGTTTATTACGTCAGTTCCTCCTCTGATCTCTCTCTCCTTTCCATTCCGTCGTACATTATGGTCTTCTGTTGTTTTTTTTTTTTTTTGAAAAACTTTGGGTGCAAAATGCAAATTCGAGTTTTCTAAACTCTTTTATACTCTTTAAACTTCGTTTGAATCGTATACTGGTTTAAGAAACTAAAAATGCTGCTTAGTAAATAGAATAATCCCAATAACTCATTCCGGGGAAGGAACTGCATTTTGAGTTTATTCTTTTGCTAATTCTGTTGAAATTTATATACAAGATGGGAGAAAATATGATTCCGGTTTCTTTTGTTCTGAGTTGGAAAAAAAAATAAGTAAAAGGCTTTCCACTTTACGAAGAACTGATGCAACTCTAACGAATCAATAATTTAATTTCTTGCTGCTTAACTGTCTTATAAATTTTAATATTTTTTTATTATTATTATTTTTAGTTTTGGAAGCTTTAATCAAATACAACCAAATCTAGTGGGTTTGTGACTTTGTTAATTGTTGGCAATAATCTTGTGCCGCAAAACAGAAAATTAGGCAATAAACAAAAGGCTTTTTCAATTTCCAGATTTTCTAGATGTGAAGGTTTTATTGCTTATTTTTCCGGAAAAGTTATAAAGAGAAAATCTCCGAATCTTGCAACTTAGATTTTTAAAGTTAATAAGTTATCTCCAGATATTGTTTTCTTAAAAGAGAAAACTCGATTTGGCTTCAAGTCAGATCAGATCCATACTTATTTCTGAAAGAAATCCATTATTATTTTCTCTATTACGTCAAAGTTCTAAGTTTGATATAATCCTATAGAAATTTAACAACTTGTGTCAATGGAATTCCATGTCAAACATGAATATTCTCTTACAATCTTTTGTCTTTAAACTGTTTTTAATATTCCTCAGATTATCTTTCTAGTCCCCTGTTTTTTCTCGGGAAAGGAATCTCAAAAGTGAAATTTCCTACTTCGACAATATTTTATCTCCCTCTTGCTCTTTGATTTAATGCAACTATCTGTAACTTAATGCATTTATCACTTGCAGATTTCAAGATCATATGATAATTTCACTTTCTGGACAAAATGGGACATTTCTCATCCATGTTCAACGGCTTAGCTAGATCCTTCTCGATCAAGAAAGCGAAGAAAAACAACAGCAAAAGCGACGTGAAGGAAGCCGTAGAGGAAATGGCGAGAGAGGCGAAGAAGAAGGAGCTGATTCTGAAATCCTCTGGTTGCATTAATGCAGATGGATCCAATAACTTGGCCTCTGTTTTCTCCAAACGCGGTGAGAAAGGCGTTAATCAGGACTGTGCCATCGTCTGGGAGGTACATTAGTTACGTCTACAAAAAGCTATCTTAGAGCTGAATTATCTAGAATTTTAGCGATCTTTAGCGTTTACTTAGCGCGATTTCTTCGTCACTCTTTGCTTACTTTAAGCATATTGAAGTCCAAAGATGTTGAGTTTACGCAAATCTCTTCGTGTGCGTTTGCGTCTAGATTGTTCTGAATGGTCCTCTGTATCTAGGGTTATCATCATTCCAACGATCTAAGCCTTACGCGATTATCCCCGTTTATGTTTGTTTCTACGCTTTTTAGAAACACTTATTCAGGGATGTTTGATACCGTAAACAGGGATTCGGATTTGAAGAAGACATGATCTTCTGTGGGATATTCGATGGACACGGTCCCTGGGGTCATTTCGTGGCTAAACAAGTCCGAAACTCAATGCCTATAACTTTGCTCTGCAACTGGCAAGAGACTCTGTCTCAGACCACATTAGCAGAACCCAAAACAGGTCTCGACGAGTCCGATAAAACGCTACAGAGGTTCGCCGTCTGGAAATACTTGTACCTCAAAACCTGTGCAGACGTTGATCAAGAGCTTGAGCATCACCGAAAGATCGATTCTTTCAACAGCGGCACAACCGCTCTAACCGTTGTGAGACAGGTAAAAAGAGACCTTCAATGAATAAAATCTTGTAAAAAAAGTTTGCTCTGTTCGTTAATCATTAAATGGTTTCTTGCCACAGGGTGAAGTTATTTATGTAGCAAACGTCGGGGATTCACGTGCCGTACTGGCCACGGTTTCTGAAGATGGAAGCTTGACCGCGATTCAGCTGACCGTCGATTTCAAACCAAATATACCCCGTTAGTGCTAACAGCATTCTACGACTAGACCTAAATAAATCTCAGTGCTTTTAGCTATATACTTCTGGTCCTTACATTTTTTTATTATTTTTCTTCTTGCTAAAACAGAGGAGGAAGAACGGATTATCGGATGCAACGGGCGAGTATTCTGCCTCCAAGACGAGCCAGGAGTCCACCGTGTGTGGCAACCGGAAGAAGAATCTCCGGGGCTCGCAATGTCGAGAGCTTTCGGAGACTATTGTATCAAAGAGTACGGATTGGTCTCAGTGCCTGAAGTCACTCAAAGGCATATCTCCATTAGAGACCAGTTTGTAATCATGGCCACTGATGGGGTAAATAAAGCTCAAATAGGATAATAGATTTTGTATTTTGTTGTCTTATTGATTAATGACGAAGTCATTCACTTAAAACTATTTTAGGTATGGGATGTGATAACAAACCAAGAGGCCATAGACATCGTTTCCTCAACCGCAGAGCGGTCAAAGGCGGCCAAGCGGCTGGTTGAGCAAGCGGTTAGGGCTTGGAATAGGAAGAGACGTGGAATCGCAATGGATGATATCTCAGCCGTCTGCCTCTTCTTCCATTCGTCGTCATCTCTATCGCATGATATTCACCCTGCCACGACCTGTTAATAGGTAATGGTTTTGGGACCGAGCTAGAAAAAAAAATATGTTCTCATGTAAATAGACCAGCGAACTTTCGGGTAGGTGATGAACTTCAATGGAAGCCATTCTTTGATATCTGTTCAGCCTTATTAATATCGATGTTGGGATTCAAGTCTTGGTCTCTCTTTCTTCGTATTATTGAATCTCGTATGCAAATTTGCAAACCTATCCGGAATGAAATCAAGTGAATGCATAGAATAATTTTCTTAAGGTGTGTTGTTGTATAGACTGAGGCACATGAATATTCACAAAAAATAATTAGTTTATTCTGTATACACACCTTTGCAAAGCTACGAAGCAATAAAAAAGAAAGCCCCTCTTTCTATGTAACTACAGCTCTATATATACAGATGTAACGTGTGAATTGTCAGAGATTCTTTAACCATCTAATATAGTTTTCGATAACCAGTGTGGTTTTCGGTTAAAGAGAACCGGACGTACAGTAAATAGTGGTCAGTGGAAGACTTGAGGAGCAGTGTAGAATTCGGATTCGTTGAACACCGGTCTGAGATCTTCTTGATCACACATGAACTGTAATGGGAAACACACAAGGTGCCCTCTTGTCTCCTTAAGCCTCTCCCACGAGTCGCTGCCGCATGGTTTTAGCCTCTCCGGTGCAATCCCAAGGTCGATCGTCGTATGGCCCAACTTGTCTTTACAGAGAGACACGTTGTGTCTCAATTCAGCTCTGCTTTTAGGAAGATGATCAATATATCAGCATCATTAGGTTATATCACTTCGAAGAAGTGTGTTAATTTAGTAGTTTTATCCCTAAATTAAGTTCATTGAAAGTACGAAATATGAACCTTGAGCGTATATGTTCATTGGGGATGCAAGAGAAGACTTGGTCGTAAATGTCGGTGTTCTTCTTGGCCGTTGCCATCCACAGGTCTTTGTATGTTGCATCTTTGATTGGATCTTCGATCATTTTCACCTAAACACCAAAATAAAGATTAACATTTTAGAAGTGGCTGTGAAGTGTGAACTTAACGATGGTTAAAAGAAGCTTTCCGCATAAGATCTTTATTGTATGAATATGAAATACCAGACTAACTCTTGGGTTATGTAGGCTCAAACGAAAGTAAAGGTTTCTCAAGTCAAGATTGTAAAGTAAAGGCGTTTTCAGAAAATTTGTAAATTACCTCTCCGGCTTGAAGGCCGAGATGCTCCGACCACAGGGAACATCTGAGACTATACGAGAATTTTCCGGCCAACCATTTCACTCCGTTCATTGAAGATTCCACGAATTCTTTGTCTTCTATCACAACTCCGATCTGAAATATGATCCAAAAGAATACATAAAATCATTTCTGTTTCTTCCATACATAGAATCAAATGGGAGTTGAGGTAAATACCTCAGAATCTCGTGAGCCTAGTAAGCTTCGATCGTTTATATTAGAAGATCCGATCACCGCGGTGCGGTCATCAACAATCAATAGCTTGCTATGCACGTAAATCTGGCTAGTGGCAATTGGACCACCCTCGAACAACCGTCCGTACGATCTCAGACCATAGAAAGAGATGTAATCTTGCGTCTTGGGACCGAGCAGAGCGTTAAGGTTGTCAAGAATTGAAGTTCTTTCTCTTGAGATCGTACGGTATTGCCAATGCATCAGTGCTCTAACCGTAGCTGCTCCGAAGTCATCGATACCTCCCTGTTTAGTGTCAACACAATAAACATGATTGGCATCTCGGTTCTACTCTGAACAACGATCTGTGAATTGTGGTAGGAAGAAGAAAACTGTATACCTGAAATCCAGGGAGGAGCGGTATAACGATCACGACACGGAAGCACTTGTTCTCTTCATGAGCCTTGAGAATGCGTCTGTATAGCGCTTCGAGAACGCGGTTTAGAATCGTTTCATCTTTTTCTAGTCCAGAGATGAAGAACTGGTTCTGGAAGATTAAGAGGGAAAAAAAAGGGATTAATCTGAGATCAAGAAATTTTTTATATTAAATGTTTTGAATGATGAAGATTATAATACCTCGATGTAGATGAAATGTTGAGCGTTTTGGATGAGGGAACAATAAGCTTGATGAATGCTGTCTTCAGGCTGGCTAGTCCCAGCGGACCATTGGCTAACACTTCTGATGACCTGACACCGACAATCACTTTGCTTCCCGATTTGCCACCACCACTCGTTCACAGTCTCATCCCGATCGCTTTCCTCTGAAGTTTCCCCAGGAGACTCATCTCTACCATGGGATCGACCGACATCTTGTCTTGATCCTCTGTCACACTTCATATCTCCTTTGCTGGCGAATTCCGCATCGGTTTCTTGCGGGAGAAGCAAAGGGATTTCCTGAGGAGGTGAGGCAGATGAGAACGAGTCTTGTCTGGCAAGAACAACAGGTTTTTCAGGGTCTTCCTCTGGTTTAGCTGCTGCGATAATGTCGATCTCTCTAGTTCCCAAGTAGTGAGGAAGAACCATATGGTGATGAGGCATCAGCAATGGAATCGTTTGTTCATTAGGTGCCTTGTTTCTCTAATCAAAACAAAGACTAAATATAATCAAAACCGTGTAATACTAAACGCAATTGCTAAAAAAAAAACAGCGAAATCTTACCTTAGAGTGGTTCCAACGCTGGACGAAATGTCGAGCCACATCGCGACAAGGCGGTCCCCAGAGAGCGCAGTGAACCTCGTGCCACGGCATTCTCGGGTATTTCCTCCGGTCTAGCTCGTCTTTCATCGTTTCTTCCCATGAATTTGGTTCAGATTCTCTGACAATAGATTTAACAATTGGTCAGAAAGACGATTCCTTTTGTTATAAAAAGTTGAGACTAGTTCAGAATCTCACCTAGGATTATAATAATCTTTTCCTGGCCATATATGAGGAGGGCAATCTCCAATTTTGTGCTCAGCTGTATCGTAGCGGCCGAAACAGAGATCCAACCCTCCGATGAAGCAAACTTGATAATCAACAATCACTATCTTGTCATGGTGCGACCTGAAAAAAACACCATATAATTAACTTTAATTAGTTGTAATTAAGAAGGTTACAAAAATCAGCGGGTTTTGGTTAATAATGTACCAGAGGTAGATTCCGGTTGAGAGATGGTCTGGATAACGAAGAACCTTGACGTTCTTGTGAATGTTTTGAAGCCGTTTCTTGCTGTACATGCTGTTGATTTTCAGCGCGATTTGAACTTCCTTGTACATAAGAATATAAATCTGCAACAAATTATTCAAATTTTTATTAGCGTTTTGCGTTTATAACAAAACCAATCATATCCACTGAGAGAGATCTCTGTAACCATACCTTAACGCCTTGCTTTGCTTTTGTCTCAAGCAATGCATCGAGACGCAATGACGGATGATCTTCAAACGGGCGTTTGAGATATAGCTCCGGGCATAACCACCAACCCGTAATAAATATCTACAAAGATGACATTTATATTTAAACTCCACTCAAATTCTTGTAATCCTGTGACAATTACGAGCTGACGCAAAGAAATGGAACCTCTGATGTAGCGTTTTGGATTGCAAACGCGATTGCTTCAAACGCGGTGTGACCATCAACGAACCACTGAGCCTGGCTTCCGTCTGATGTCAATCCTCTAGGCGGCGCAAACGAACCAAACCGATGTGGACTGTAGCAACCAGCCTCGTCAACGGCCTTAACCCACTCTTTGACTTTCCTGCAGCTCGTAGTTCTGAGCCTCACGGTTCGGTCTCCACTTGTAACCTCGAAGCCAAAACGCAGTGGGTTGCGTTCTTTCACCTGTTCAGCCAAACGTGGTTGCTCAGAAGACTCTTTTGTACCCTGGAACCCTAATGAGTCAAACACCATTATATCTAGAAGCTTTCCACTGAAGGGATCTTCAAGTAACGCTAAGAACCCCGGTTTCAGAACCGCCCAAACCTGAAAACATTCAAAAAAAATTCAGAAATCATTCATCCGAGCAAGAAAAAAAACAGAAACTTTACACAAAACCCGACTTTCATTTTGTCTGAACCTTTGTCCAGCTATTTCCAAAGCAGCCGAGACATTGCGAAGGAAGACAGCATCGTGCACCATCAGATCCAGGGACTTTCCTCAGGTGTTTCACTGTGACATACCCTTCTTTCATCTTCGAACCGTACTCCCTAGCAAACGAGAGTCTAGAAACTTCCAGGAACTTGCAGACCTGTGGATACATTTTAAGTGTGACGCAAGAAACATGGAAATCGCAACTAGAAAATAGTCACAGTAAGCGTCAGCGGTCAAAAACTCAAACCTCTTTGGAGTTTACAATGTCCAAGTTCCCTAGAAAGAGATTCAAGTAGCCTTGCATTGCGTTTTTCCCACGGTCTACAACTGTCTCTGACCGGCCTATCGTTGGACGGATGATTGAAAACGCTGCACGCGAAGGAACATTCCTGTACAACACAAAAACCTAATTTTGAGCCAAAAGATAGGCCATCATTTTTTTTTTTACTCGAATCCACAAAAGTGAGAGACTTTAGAAAGCACCTGTTTTTTACACTATCTTCAGTGTAGAGCAGAGGAAGAGCGCCGTCGTCGGGTTCTTCATCATCTTGCACAACTGATCCTTGCATATCAAAGATTCCCAAGCTATGCAGCCACTCTCTAACCTGTCCAAAACCGTAATTTGTAAGTTCAAGAATTTGTTTTCTTTTTGTTGTTGCGTGTGTTAGCAAATCTGCAGACTTCGGAAAATACTGACCTGTTCTTGCTTCTCGTGGAGTTCCTCAATGATCAAACGTTTCTTCAAAGCAAAATGTAGGTATAGAACTTGAGACGCTTTCTTTTGTAATGTCCACTTGAACTAAACATAAACCAAAAACAGAGTATACCAATTTCAAGATCTTTCTTTGTAATTAATACTGAACAGAGAAACTCAGGGAGAACAAAAAACTCTGACATTGCATATCTGATATCTGCACTAATAAACTCTATTTTTTCAAATTAAAATATGTTCATCACGAATTCTTTGTCAGAGATATGGAAAACTTTAGCCGTAAGGAAAGGAAAAATAGGAATAATCAAAGAGAGAATATGATCAGTTTGGGCATTAAATCAAAATCTAGTGACAATTTAACCGAGGGTATTAGTCTCTTCTAAAAGACAAGTTGACATTGTAAAATATGTATCTATAGGCGTATGTATACACAACACCTGTTTATACTGAAGCTCCAAGGTGTAAGAAAGAAGCAAGGGGCTAAAATCGGTGGTGTCTGGTGGAGAGACGGAGACGATCGCCGCCTTCGGAAGCTCGTCGAATATCTGACTTCCGCCGCCGAGAAAATTTGCCGCCGCCGCATCAGCTCCGGAAGTTCTGGTTCTTCTGATGACGCCGTCCGACTTAACGCCGTTAGGGACGAGCAATTTCTCCGTCGTCATCGATTAATTTCCTTCACCACCGTCGGAACTCGCCCTCCTTTAGCACGAAGACATGCCCGAAAAAATCGAGATTCCAATGATCAAATAATTCTGTTTATGATATATATATATATATATATATATACAGTTAATTAAGGTGTCGAAAAAAAAAAAGTTAATTACGGTTTAAATCTGTCTGACAAATAGTAGATTCAACGGGAAGAGGAGTGGTTCCGTGACGTTAGGTTTAACGAATGTATCCGGTTGCGTCGTGAGATTATGACACGTAATATTATTGTCACGTGTACGGTTGAGATCGAGGATACATGCTTACTCCCGTCTACCCTTACCGTGTATATGCAACTTGGTTCCATCGTTTCCAAGTTGGACAAAGTAGCATAATGACGATTTTACCCTTAAACCTTTGCCTTGCTAAAATATTACTCTCACTCAAGTCTTGGTATCGGTTTACAAAATTTACAAAAGCCCCATGTCCAATCTTTTCGAAACCATCTTTTCTTTTCTTTTTAATCACCGATAGATCTCGGGTTTATTTCTAAAGTAACAAAAATAGTTTTTCTTTTTTATAATATCTTATTATGCCTACCGTGACCAACCATTGTATTTAGGTGTCCGAATGAATTTTTGAGTGTCCTTAGTCTTAAGACTCTTAGGATAGTTTATAGTAGTTTTGATGTCTTTAGTGTGTTTACAGATCATTTGGAAGTTAAGAGATGCAAAGGACTCGAAAAGAATGGTCTTCTTAAAAAAAATGATCACTAAATAAGACTAATGCATTAATTGTCTTTTGATTAGCGCTAACAAATTAATCAATTAGTCAAATGAACTTGAGACACGGTAAAAATCTAACTCGATTTCCGGTGATGTTATTAGCTTTCACATCCACTCGTGGGACAATTTGGTCTTTTGCCGACACCAGGGTTGATATTGTGCGAGGTATATGCCATGCAAGCATCAAACGACAAGAATATCCCAATTTTTCTGTGCTTTATCAGATCAGAATATTCCCAAAAATACTTATTATATCCATATGACATGTGGTTAGACAAAAATGATTGCTTCCACTTTTTATTCTTTGATTAATACTGACAAAACAAAATACTAGTATATGATTTAGAATTTTCCTTCCCTGACTATTTAATGCTATTATTTAATCCTTTATATAAAGTACAAACTCTTATTAACTATAGCGTATAAGCATAATATAGTTATATAAATTAATCTGTCTACATACGACGTATTTCGTATACCAGTTTAAGCGAATAACCGGAATAGTAAGTTTTAGATGTTCTCCTGAAAATGATCGTTCTATCCTTTTTCTGCCATCAATTATCGCTCATCTAAAGCAATACGTAAACAAAATTAATATAACGTTATATAGATGTTAGATAGACTGTCTAAGGATCAACCGGTGTAAAACATGTATATATAACATATAAACTTTATTTTAAAACTTCATTATTGTACCATCACTTTCATATTCAGAAAGTGAAATTTTATCCAAAGATCCCTCCAAAGATTGATAATTGGTAAGAAAACTTCAACATATAATTTTATAAGTATGTTTGTGAATGATTTTCAAAACGGCGCAGTATTCCAATTTTATTACACTTATAAACTAGAAAATCAAAACCGGCATTCTGACTTTTTTTAGTTACATTGTACTAAACCGAAAACCTTATCGAACATCCTTAATTTTTATTACACTTCATACCAGGGATAATACCAAAAAGTTGAGGAAAAAAAAACAAGGGGTAATCATAAATTCATAACACTATTCTAGTAAATTTTAACTTTAAAAAGTAAAAACATTCTAGTAAATTGCGAATGGAGGTCCAGCTATTTATTGGGCTAATATTTTACAAGTTGGGCCTTAAACTGTTATGAATGTAAGGCTCCAAAACACCTCGAACCGGCTCAAACAAAATCGGAGCTCCAGTTTCTACAAATGCAGTGAACTTTAGCTAGTGAAGCCATGTAATCATCCGACCTAAAATAAATTTGGAAAGCAAAAGCATCAAAAACACCAAACCATAGCATTTTTCATTTTGATTGCTCTTAGTGTTCTTTAGAAAGTCAAACCTCTGCCCATATGGAGATCCACAAGCCGCGGTTATATGAAACTTTGCGCTTTCTGATTTACCCTACAACGAGAATCAGACAAGAAACTTAGAGAAGATTACTTGAGGACTGTTTGATAACAGTACATGTCAACGAACGAAGATCGTGTTGAAGATATTCAAGATCAAGAGCATACCTCAGCTTCATAGTAGAGCCCTGCATACAGCGAAGCGTAGAAGTATTCACTTGCTTGACCGCTCGAGAAGTCATTAACTAACTGTGATTTCAAAACCAAAACATTAAGACAGTTTTGTGGAAGAAAACCATAACATCAATTATCAGAGAAACCTGTCTCAAAAACCTTTTCAGGATCACCACCATTCTTGAATAGGTTATAAGCTTCCCGCATCACAGGCCGAGAATCTCTACCAACCTACAAACATTTGTCTAAACTCATAAATCCTGCTTTTGTAATTGATCAGCGAATAATAATCTTTAGGATAAACAAAAAACAAAAAAAAACCTCAAGAAACTGTTTGCGTGCACCATCAATACCGTGGAGCCGAGCCTCACATAGAAAGCACCAAATCGACTCCTCTGTGTCATTTGGGTTTTGGGCAACATCTAACCGGAACTGCTCTGCACCTTCTTCAAACCTGTTGGTATATGGAGGATTTGCTTCATATAATAGAAAGAGACCAAAAACTAAAACAGGAGGAGGCAATTTCTTCTACACTTTCAAATCCGTAACATGAGAGAAAGACAATGAGTAAGGAGCTAGTACCTATCCAGGTAGTAAAGAGAAAGCCCGCGTTGCCACAGATCTGTCATCAAAGGAAACGTTAGTGTTCCCATAAAGTGGTCTAAAGATTTGATTCAATTTTCAAGCTTTCCAGAGAAATAAAGTTGTAAGATAAAGACAACGCACAACAAAAACCTACATGCCTTTTGCCGGGGATCCAACACAATAGCTCTATCGAACTCTGTCACCGATCCAGAAACATCACCCTTTCACAAACATTTTGAATATCATTTCCTATTTAAAGATCGAAAATTTTAAAAAGGGTTTCTTTTGTTAGAACAATTTTTTCTTTTCCTTATTCACCTTTCTGAAAAGCTGCATTCCGCTTCGAACCGCTGCGATAGCCTCACGGGGGTTTGAGTCTCCACCGCCGGTTATGGCATCCCAAATCGAGGAAACAGAAGGAAGGAAGAGTCTGCGAGAGAGTGCGTGAGGTGGGTGGCGAGAAAGTTGGGGGTTTAGGGTTTTCAATGGCGTGATCGCCGTGAAACGCCGTGGAATTGTGGGAGACGGGCATCTGATGGGTTTCACGATCTGGGTGAATGCCATTGATGGCGGAAGCTGAAGAATTTCACCACGACGATTACAATTTATCTAGGAATTAACGGACTACTTTCCCAGTATTTCCAGAAGATAAGATGACAAATGGGAGGGAATAAATGCACCGTTACAACCCGGAAAATCCCGGTTTATTGATTCGCCTGATGAACCAATTGGTGTTTAGTTTGAAAGCTGTACCGGTTGTTTTCCGTCGGTTTAATTGAGTTTGCATCGTTTTTTAATTGAACCGGTTGAATTCAGAATGAGCGGGTGCAAAAGTCTAATTGGTTAGTCCTAGTCCTTTTTTTGGACAACAACTTCATTAATTAAAGTTTAAGAGCTACACAGGTAGGGAAACAAAGAGATTTGGCTAAATGAAGAAAGAAAAACTTTTGCTTGAGAAAAGTTATTACCAACTCAGTCAAATACCCTAGTCTGAAATCAACATCCGTGTTCGAATTAGTCTTAGGGTATCAATAACTTGCTTGTATTGGAACTGATCTAACAAGTGAAATGGAAAAAACTGAGGATCACATATTAAACATGTAATGCTCTATACTATCATTATACTATAAACAAGTTAGAAATGTTATCAAGTAGTCCAAAAAGACCAATGTCGAAAACAATTTCATTGCGATATTAAGGATTTATTCTATTATTTATAAACGGCGACGATATCCGGAACCTCCACATTTCTTGCAGAAAATCAAACCTATATTTAACAAAAAAAGACCCAATTCAAAAAATTATTAAAGAAACTAATCAGCACAAAAGCGATATAGTTTAGTTAATAAATATTACCTGATCCTTTGCAAATCTTGCAGTTAACCATTCCAGATTCCACCTTCATCTTACCTTCTTGACAGAAAACACATTTTGTTCCACCTTTTTGCGCAAACCCACAAAAATAAACAGGAGAACACTTTTAACATACTAATATCAAGTAGTTTGATGTAAAAAAAAATAAAAATTGAAGTTGTTTAAAAACTGTCTTACGATGAAGTAAACATTACTTACTTCCAAGCATAAAAGTAAACTTAATTTCTTTTTGGTATCATCAACTAGTTGTTTCTAATCCAAGGCAACAAAGAATCATCAATTGGTTCTAAACCAGAACCTCATAAGTGACTAAAATCCAATCATCTACATATTAAAATGCAATTTCCTGAAGAATATAAAGAGAGAGATTTACCATTTCCACCACATCTCTCACAAGGAACTGGGTCTCCCTGCAAGAATAATAATAAAAAAAAAAAACCCAAAATTTTCACAAAGAAAATGATTTCGTGAGAAATTACGGATATGGGTTTTGCTTCTGATTTCACCTTGAAGCCGAGGAAGAGAGAGAGAGCAATGGCAACGACGAGACTGATGGTAACAATGAAGGTTTGCGTATCGACGAATCCACCACCATCGAAGCCGCTACTAATGAAGAGAACGGAAGGGTTGATGATGAGATTAGACGAGGAGTGAACACTTGTCCGAGAACATTTGTTTGCCTTGTGGTGATGGCTACTAAATTCGGTTATGGCATCCCAAATCGAGGAAACAGAAGGAAGGAAGAGTTTGCCTTGGGGGTTTAGGGTTTTCAATGGCGAGATCGCCGTGAAACGCCGTGGAATTGTGGGAGAAGGGCATCTGATGGGATTCACGATCTGGGTTAGTGCCATTGATGGCGGAAGCTGAAGAACTCCACCAAGACGATTTATCTAGAAATTAACGGACTGCTCACTTTCCCAGTATTTCCAGAAGATAAGATGACAAATGGGAGGGACGATATGTAGCGCTACAACCCGGAAATCTCGGTTTATTGATTCGCTTGATGAACCGGTTATTTTCCGTCAGTTTAATTGAGCTGTACAACCTGAAAGGTGTACCGGTTGTTTTCCGTCGGTTTAATTGATATTGCATCGTCTTTTAATTGAACCGGTTGAATTCAGAATGAGCGGATGCAAACGTCTGGTTTTTTTTTTTTTTTTGCTCACAAACGTCTGGTTAAATTAGTCCTACTCCTAGAAGCAGAATTTAAAGTTTATTGAGCAAAACAAAGAGCTTTGGCCAAAATGAAGAAAGAATAACTTTTGCTTGAGAAAAGAGTAACAAAAGAAGGTAAAAAGTTAAAGTTTGAATTTGTTCCTACAGTTCCCAAAGAGGCAAAGAACATTTCTTCACCAACAATCAATACCTAAACCTTCCAAGATTTGTTTCTATATATATGCCTTCACTCTTTCCTCTGTTCTTTTTCTTTTGCAAACCCAAAACCGATTATCACAAAATGGACATCACGAGGTTTCTCTGCGCACATCTCTTACTTATAATGCTTATGTTCGTTCAAACTTTATCGTCCGAAACCACAATCTTCAAGCCCTACAAAGATGAAAACTTTCGGTCCTTGGTCGCCAAAGCGTGCCAATTTATCGATGCCCACGAGTTGTGCGTCTCTAACATCCGCACGCACATTAAGAAATCGGGTCACGGGTTAAACCCACATTCGGTTTTAAGTGCTGCGGTAAAAGAGGCACACGACAAAGCCAAGTTGGCAATGGAAGGAATCCCCACGGTCACGACGTTATCTTTCCGTTCCCGTGAACAAATTGCAATAGAGGATTGCAAAGAGCTTGTAGGCTTCTCTGTGACGGAGCTAGCATGGTCGATGCTGGAGATGAACAAACTCCATGGAGGAGCAGGAATTGACGGTGGCTCTCACGACGCTGCTGCTGCAGGAGGCAACCTTAAGACATGGCTAAGCGCGGCGATGAGTAACCAAGACACGTGTCTAGAAGGGTTTGAAGGAACAGAGAGAAAGTACGAGGAACTGATCAAAGGTAGCTTGAGACAAGTCACTCAGCTCGTGAGCAATGTCCTAGACATGTACACGCAGCTCAATGCCTTGCCTTTCAAGGCATCTAGGAACGAGAGCTTTACCGCTAGCCCTGAGTGGCTCCCAGAGACCGACGAGAGCCTCATGATGCGCCTCGAACCCAGCGCCATGCACCCAGACACGGTCGTATCTCTGGATGGAAAAGGGAAGTATCGGACGATTAATGAGGCCATTAACGAGGCTCCTAATCATAGCACAAAGAGATATGTTATATACGTGAAGAAAGGTTTGTATAAAGAGAATATTGATTTAAAGAAGAAGAAGACTAACATAATGCTTGTCGGTGACGGTATTGGACAGACGATCATTACCGGTGACCGGAATTTCTTGCAGGGTCTTACCACTTTCCGAACTGCAACCGTTGGTTAGTATTAATAATTTAATATAAGTTAGTTAAATTATTAGTTTATTGATTGATTGATTGATTAACCTTTTTTGTACTTTCCTCACTTTTTGGTTTTTGTCAAATCTTGTTTATTAGTGTGTCTGAAAAGCATAGATGCTTTCTGCAATCCGCAGGCTTCAAGCTTTATAGTATTAATTCTTAGAGTTTTATTCCTTTCTTGTGCTACAAATATCTTAGACATCTCTAATTAACTAGTATCAGTTTATTAATTAATCCTTTTATTTATTACCTTTTTATTATTGTCTCTCTTTTTCGTTTTAGTCAAATTTCGTATATTACTATTTGGGAAAAATCAGAACTAAACATAGATTCTTTTGCTTTCTGTAAACCGAAGAGTTCCAAGTTTTTTATATTCTTTTCTTATATTCATCCATTTCCTGTGCTACAAGTAACTGCTTATCTAATAATTTTTTGTTTTGTTTATATCTAATTAATTAATTAGTTCAATCCTTAATTTGGTTTTGATCAGCTGTTTCCGGAAGAGGTTTCATAGCAAGGGACATAACTTTCAGAAACACGGCCGGACCGCATAACCGTCAAGCTGTCGCATTGAGGGTCGATTCCGACCAATCTGCCTTCTTCCGATGTAGCATGGAAGGTTATCAAGATACTCTCTACGCACATTCCCTTCGTCAGTTCTACAGAGAATGTGAAATCTCCGGTACAATCGATTTCATATTCGGAAACGGTGCCGCCGTGTTTCAGAACTGTAAAATCTATACACGGGTTCCGTTACAGCTCCAGAAGGTAACGATAACTGCGCAAGGGAGAAAAAGCCCTAACCAGAACACAGGGTTTGTAATCATGAACAGTTACGTCTTAGCCACGCAACCTACTTATCTGGGCCGGCCATGGAAACTTTTCTCAAGAACGGTGTACATGGACACTTACATGAGCCAGCTGGTCCAGCCCAGAGGTTGGCTTGAGTGGTTTGGTGACTTTGCTTTGAAGACATTGTGGTATGGCGAATACAATAATGTTGGGCCGGGTTGGCGGTCATCGAGTCGGGTTAAATGGCCTGGTTATCATATCATGGACAAACGGACTGCACTGTCTTTCACCGTTGGATCGTTCATTGATGGTCGGAAATGGCTTCCAGCAACAGGTGTCACGTTCACCGCTGGTCTAGCTAATTAATTCAAATAATTTATAATTATGTTACTAATTTTCATTTATTCAAGCCTCTCAATCGAGGAGAACATTCACGAATCATGATATATTGTTTGTGCCTTGTGCTATGTGTATGTTTCAATTTTTAATCTGCGTCTGATTATTCATTTTATGTAAAGCATTTAGTTTTATTCAAGTATTATAAATTATACTTTAGCAATATTCCAGAAAAGCTTCCAAAATTTCTGTCATTTTATCTGTAGATCATATATGAATATCTTGAGCTACCTAAGTGCTGAAATGGTTTCTAGTAATTTCACGGCTAAGTCGTATTTAGGCCGGCCATGGAAGGAGTACTCAAGGACAATTATGGATGAGGAAATTATATTCAGTTTATCAGCTAATGGTCCTTTAATTTTAACAAAAATACATTTATGTTGTTAATTAGTAGTTATAAAATACGATTACGACACTGATAAAATCCGGTTGAGAAAACAAACAAACAAAAAATGAGGCTTCGAATCTCTAAAATAAGATCAATAATTTCCCCTAATTAGAAACTCAGAAGAAACAGAGAAGACAAAAAAACTACCACAGGCCTATTTTTTGTCTTTTCAATAGTTTCTCAGTAGCCGAGTTTCCCGTCAAGCCTCACAAAACAGAGCAAACAGAATAAACGAACTCTTAATTTATCCTTTCAGTTATAAATAAGCCATCTCGACAATTATGAAAAAATGCACACTCCTAAGGAGGCTTACGTCAACCTTCGAAGGAGGAGTCCATAAAACTCACAATCTCGTTTTCTCTCAGAAAGAACAACGAACAGCTCTAATTCTTTTAAACAAAACTTCTTCAGAGCTGTTCAAGTTCAAAAAAACAATTTGATAAATAGAAGACAACAAAAGATATTGTAAGGAAAAACACAAAAAAAGAACCAAAGATGTCGTACGGATACGACGATGATTCAAAGAGGAAGAAGAGACTTGTTCTTATCTCAATCTCCTCTGTTCTCTTGATCACGCTTGTGGTTGCCCTTACCGTCGGTTTCAGCCTCAAAAAGGGTGAAGTTAACGGTGACTCTGAAGGACAGATAAATGCTTCCGTCAAGGCCGTCAAGGACGTTTGTGCACCAACGGATTACAAGAAGACTTGTGAAGACACTCTGATCAAGAACGGTAACAACACGACCGACCCGATGGAGTTGGTTAAGACGGCGTTTAGTGTCACGATGAAGCAGATCACTGACGCGGCTAAGAAGTCTCAGACGATGATGGAGCTTCAGAAGGATCCGAGGACGAGGATGGCGCTTGACCAGTGCAAGGAGCTGATGGATTACGCTTTAGGAGAGCTTAGTAACTCTTTCGAGGAACTTGGGAAGTTTGAGTTCCACAAGCTCGACGAGGCTTTGATCAATCTGAGGATTTGGCTCAGCGCAGCGATTAGCCACGAGGAGACTTGCCTTGAAGGGTTTCAAGGGACGCAAGGAAACGCGGGAGAGACGATGAAGAAAGCCTTGAAGACCGCTATCGAGTTGACACACAACGGGCTAGCGATCATAAGCGAGATGTCGAATTTCGTGGGCCAAATGGAGATTCCTGGGCTTAATAGCCGCAGGCTTCTGGCCCAAGAAATCCCCTCGTGGGTGGACCAGAGAGGGCGTAGGCTCTTGCAGGACGCAGCCGCATATTCCGATTCGAAGCCTGATATCGTGGTGGCCCAGGATGGGAGTGGTCAGTACACGACCATCAACGACGCCTTGAAGAATGTCCCCAAGAAGAAGAACACGACTTTCGTGGTTCACATCAAAGCTGGACTTTACAAGGAGTACGTTCAAGTGAACAAGAGCATGACTCATCTCGTGTTCATCGGTGATGGTCCCGACAAAACCATCATTTCCGGCAACAAGAACTACAAGGACGGTATCACTACCTACCGTACCGCCACTGTTGGTACGTATGATATATGTTTATAATGATTTTTTATAAAAAGATTTTTAAAAAGTCGTCTATGTTGATGAACATAAATGAATTAATGGTTATTAATGCAGCAATCGTTGGAGACTACTTCATCGCCAAGAACATTGGGTTCGTTAACACAGCTGGGCCAATCAAACATCAAGCCGTTGCGGTTAGGGTTCAATCAGATGAGTCGATATTTTTCAACTGTAGATTCGATGGTTACCAAGACACGCTCTACACCCACTCCCACCGTCAGTTCTACCGAGACTGCACCATCTCAGGCACTATTGATTTCCTCTTTGGAGACGCGGCTGCTGTATTCCAAAATTGTACTTTGTTGGTGAGGAAGCCACTCCCGAACCAGGCATGTCCGATCACAGCCCACGGTCGTAAAGACCCGAGGGAATCAACCGGATTTGTGTTCCAGGGTTGCACAATTGCTGGCGAACCGGATTACTTGGCAGTCAAGGAAACTAGCAAAGCCTATCTCGGAAGGCCATGGAAGGAGTACTCAAGGACTATCATCATGAACACTTTCATCCCAGATTTCGTCCAGCCACAAGGATGGCAACCGTGGCTCGGAAACTTTGGCCTCGACACGTTGTTCTACTCTGAAGTTCAGAACACAGGACCAGGAGCAGCCCTTGCAAGCCGGGTTACTTGGCCAGGAATCAAGACACTTAGCAACGACGAGATCCTCAAGTTCACACCGGATCAGTACATCCAAGGTAACGTTTGGGTTCCTGGCAAAGGTGTTCCGTACACTCCTGGCCTTTTGGCTGCTAACCCAACGACCGCTGCGACAACCGTCCCGAGCGACTCAGCTGCTCCAGGTTTCTCCTCCTTCACCGACACAAGTGGCGCTGGCTCGATTTCTCCAGCTGCTTCCCCGGAGAGCTCCGGTACGATGGTTTCAAAGTCTACCTAAAAGATCGATTAAGATACCATATAATGTGTTTTTTCCTACTCTAATTTTCTTTTTAAAAAAACCTGAAAAGAAAAAAGTTTCCACAACCTCGAGGAGTTCAGGATTATTGATCTACCAAATTGTTGAGATTAATGTTTAGCTTTGTAAACTCATGTTTATTATTGCAGTACATTAAAGATGTTGTTTATAAATCGATTAAAATTTCCATATGTAGATTATTAGCTCATGACTAGTATACATGCTTGAGTTATCTTTTTTATCCACTTATAGAAGTATCCTGTGAGGAATAAAAATCTGCAACTAATGGTTATTATTCATCAACATTTTAACATTACAGATTTATTTCACCGTTACTATTCATGAATGGTTTTTCAGAACAATATTATATCATATTGGAAGATAATGGCTTCTTTATTACATATCAACCACATTGTTTAAGCAAGTATATATTCATATTGTGGGTAGTTTCATTAATTTTAGATTTCAGTATATATAAGGAAACTTTGAAAATATTTCACTCAGTGTCATTCATTTCACCATATCACACACCTCCATCATCTATATATCGAGACAAGCATAGAAAACCGAAATTAAAGTTCGAAGTTTTTTTTTTTTTTTTGACAACTTAAAGTTCGAAGGTTCTAAAACATGATTAGACGATAAAGTCTTGCTTGCACCCAAAAAAGAATCCATAAATAGTGAAACCAGATTTTTCACCAAAAAGTGAGTTTTCATCTTTCTATCACAGTATCACAGATGAATTTTTTATCTTTTACGGGAAACAAAAGTAGTTACACCTAACTTCTTTTACTTCTGCATTCACTTCATCTCTTCTTTCGAGGAGCTCAAAGTTATTGGCTCCATTTTTCATAAAATTTTCAGATAAATTTTATGAACGCTATCAAAATATATGAATTTTTCATAGCAAAAAAAAAAAACACAACAACATGAAATTCAATAAATTTTCAAAACCCTATCAAACTAGGATTTATCTCTTCTTCTTATTGGCATGCATAAAACTAGGTAGACTAATTTACCTTGTAAGATTCAATTTTTTGTTTACCTTGATTTATTTTAAATACTATAATATTTTGATACCCAAATAATTTATAGTAATCTCAAGAGACATGCAACCATCATGTAAATGCTAATTTATAGAGTCTGTAACTTGTCACGGTCAATATACAATATTCAAATGATTAACTTGTTTTGAGTCTAATTTTTGGTTTTGAGACTATTTTCTACCAACTTATGTTACCATTTGAATCGAGAATTACTGCCATCTGAAAAAGTAGGTAAGAATTTCCCAACAGAACTAGTATTTAAAATTTACTCCTTTTATTAGATAAAGGTAATTTCCTCTTTTTATTTATATCACAACCAAAACGACCCGATTACACAGCTTAAAGAGCCATTCATAGATCCAACAGAAACTAAAGGAGAGAAATGGAAGAAATCGATCATAGAATGGTGAGTGTAAACGGCATAACAATGCACATTGCCGAGAAAGG